TTGGAAACTTTGTAAACAATGCCTTCGTGTTCCGCTCACGAGGTATACGTTTGGATGGAAGAAGTGACTTCCTCTAATTCACGTGCACTTGATGTAAGTTGCCACCGTGAATTCGAGAAAGCTTATTTTTGCTCCCTCTGGAATCATCCCAAGTTAGTCACGCATATGTGCGAAGTACTCTATGGTTTGATAGGTTGGCCGCCTCCACTCCATATGTGTTTCCTAGCACACCAAGCCACTTATTGATTTGTTCAAGGCAAAGAAGTTCTTAAGTGCTAACCCTTAAGGACCCAAAGGTACATGCGCAGGACTTCACTCTCTGCAATGATGGTTCCCAATCAGAACTCGGTAGTGTTTTGTTGTAAGACTACTATGTGGTCGTGCTTGTCTTGGACAACGTGTTCACATGTATGTAGCAGAACCAGCTCATGTTGTGGAGCTTGCTATTGTAGTTCACTCCCCGAGAATCTCGCAACGTCATCTCATCGATTTGTGTTGCAAACTTCCATTTTCTCTCTAGACTTGATGAGTCTGGAATATCCTGATACCAACCAGATCTGAATCTCGGGCAAATATGATGGTTGGAACATTCCCAACATTTGCATTATGTTCCCAGCTTGCACCCCATCATGCCAATTTTCCATGGGCTTCCCCTTCTCAGCAGTGGCTATCCAGGTTCATCTTCAAAGCTGGACTTACCATGAGTCCCATCCATTTCCGATGATAAGCAGAAATCATCCATTTCGTTGTCTTCAACAAGGTAGTCCACATCATCCATTCTAGCCCGAGCGTGTCGTTCTTCCGAACTCCTTCAAACGGTCGTTTGTGATTTTCCTTAGGCTGGTATAGAGAGTTTCAATGATCTCAGAATCAAAAGTAATTCTTTTTTCCACTTAAGGGAATGTTTCTGCGAGTCACCTTCCTTAAGATGTCTCATTTTGATATCATGGCAACTCAACTCCTCGCTACGTCGTTATCGAGCGTGGAATTGTTTCCTACCAAATCGAGCCACCGCCTTCTATTTCCTATCACCCCGATGAGTGTCTCATGTCTTAGCTCAAGAGATATTCATACGTCTCATTCCGTGAGTTGATCCTGAGTTGTTCAATCTTCGAGAAGATCGATCCTTCTAGAGTTTCCCTTTCTCCTTCGTGTCGTGTTGGACAAAGATCTCGAAGGCCAAGACGTCAAGATCATGTGGTAGAATGAATCAACATCTTTGATGAGGGCACTTGGATCATGAAGATCGTGCTAGCTTTGTATCCCTCTGTCTTCTTACCTCACGTCTTGAATCTTGGGACGAGATTCTTGTTTAGTGGGGGTGAGTTGTCACAGCCCTAGCATTGGCCTTTCTTGTCATTGCATCATCATCTTGCATCATGTTTAAATTTGTCAGAAACTTGAAATGGGGATTGTTGAAACCCTAACACCAAATGAATTCAAGTAGGTTCAATAAAAATATTTCAATGAACCCAAATGCCCTTTAGAAAAGTCCATGATTTTTTTTAAAGGTGAAAACCTCTGCCAAAAATGATGCACATATTTCTAGGTCATTCTGGATTTAACTTAATTCAGGAAATTCCAGAAAATGCCCAAAACTTCTAAAAATCATAGAAAAATATCTATAACTCCAAATAAGATAAATTATATATGAAAAATGATCAAAAAAATCCAAGATATCCATCTGTACTGTTTTCATGCATGTTTGAGCAAGTTAACCTCACTATTTAGGATGAAACATGATTAGGACAAATTTGATAATAGATTTGGAGTTGGAATTTGATCTAGCTTTGAATTCCACTTCAACCAAAATGACTTCCTGTTGCATTAGTCCAAATCACAGCATATTGCCATGTAATGATCATGCATCATATTGTGGCATTGCATTGATTGTGTTCTTCCTCAGTTGCCGGTGTTTGTCCCCTCTCGGTAGACGTGTACCGACGACGAGAACGATGACACCAATGAATTGTGTTCCTCTTCAGAAGTGTCAGGCAAGCAAAAACCCCTTGTTCATTCCAATACAACCCCACTCTCTCCCTCCTGCTCTCTTTTACTGCATTAGGACAACAGCGATTCAACTGTTACATGTTGCGGTAGTTGAACCCCTTTCCTCTGCATGACCTGTCATTGCCACAGTAAATAGATGAAACCCACTAGCATGAGTAGGATTTGTTTGAGCCCTGATGTGCCTACTCATTCATGCTTGTTTGTCATGCCTGCTATTGCTTAGAGTTGTGTTAGGTCTGATTCATCGGGGGTGAATTGGGAAGTTGTGAACATGTCCTACTGTTGAGAGCTAAGTGTGTGAACATGATTTGGTAAAGGTAGCGGTGAGAGGCCATGTAGGAGTACATGGTGGGTTGTTGTAACACCCTCGATGCGACCATATCTCCCACGTGTCGAGGCACGACTTAGAGGCATAATCGCATTGAAGGCATATGTCGCAAGTTAGGTAATCTTCACAACATCCCATGTAATATAAATAATAAAGGGGAGATAACATAGTTGGCTTACACTCGCCACGTCAATCAAGTACATAAATAATATTGCATCATCCAAACACTCATGGCCCGACTACGGCGCCAAAATAAAAGAGAACCCAACATGCGACACGGTCCCAATCACCCCCAACTGGGCACCACTACTGATCATCGGGAAAGGAAACATAGTAACGTTGAGAGTCCTCGTCGAACTCCCACTTGAGCTCATACGCGTCTCCTGGAGCGGAATCATTAGGCCCTGCATCTGGTGTAATAGTAATCTGTGAGCCACAGGGACTCAGCAATCTCGCACCCTCGCGATCAAGACTATTTAAGCTTATAGGTATGGCAAGGTAAATATAAGTGGAGCTGCAGCAAGCGACTAGCAAGTATGGTGGCTAACTTATTCGCAAAAGAGAGCGAGAAGAGGAGGCAAAGCGCGAGCGAGAAACTAGAGAGCAACCTGCGCAAACATTACTCCAACACCGTGTCCACTTCCTGGACTCCGCCGAGAAGAGGCCATCACAGTAACACACTCGGTTGATTCATTTTAATTAAGTTAAGGTTCAAGTTATCTACAACCAAACATTAACAAATTCCCATCTGCCCATAACCGCGGGCACGGCTTTCGAAAGTTCAAATCCCTGCAGTGGAGTCCCAACTTAGCCCATGACAAGCTCTCACGGTCAACAAAGGAATAGACCTCCTCCCAAGACGTTCCGATCAGACTCGGTATCTCGGTAATCCAAGACACTTCGACAGGTTAAAACAAGACCAGCAACACCGTCCGAATGTGCCGACAAATCCCGATAGGAGCTGCACATATCTCTTTCTCAGTGCACACTCAGACTGTCTAATCTTCTGGTAGGCCAGCCCAGAGTTGCCCCTGGTAGCCACCGGCGGCTGACAGTTTGGACCAACACTCAGAGGAGCACTGGCCCAGGGGGGTTAAAACAATGATGACCCTTGAGTCTGCAGAACCCAAGGGAAAGAAAAGGCTAAGTGGCAAATGGTAAAACCAAGGTTGGGCATTGCTGGAAAAGCTTTAATCAAGGTGAACTATCAAGGGGTTCCCATTATAACCCAACCGCGTAAGGAACGCAAAACAACACCGATAAGACGGAAACTAGGGTGGCAAGAGTGGCACAAAACACTAGGCGAGAGGCCGAGCCTTCCACCCTTTACCAAGTATATAGATGCATTAATTAAATAAGATATATTGTGATATCCCAACAAGTAAACATGTTCCAACAGGAACAACATCTCCATGTTCCAACAAGGAACAAACTTCAATCTTCACCTGCAACTAACAACGCTATAAGAGGGGCTGAGCAAAGCGGTAACATGGCCAAACAACGGTTTGCTAGGACAAGGTGGGTTAGAGGCTTGGTTCAACAATATGGGTGGCATGATAAGCAAGTGGTAGGTATCGCAGCATAGGCATAGCAAAAGAGCGAGCAAAGTAACATAGCAAAGATAGTGGTGAGTTCGAGGGTATGATCATCTTGCCTGAGATCCTGCAAGGAAGAAGAACGAGTCCATGAAGAAGACAAACGAACGTAGTCGAACGAATCCTCACAACACGACGTTATCGGAACCAACCCGAAGAAGCAACACCGGAAAGAAGCAAACAATCATGGTGAACAAACATCACATAAGCATGGCACGATGCGCAAACAAGTATGATGCATGTCCGGTTTATTGATAAATGGCATGGCAAAATGCACAAGCAATACTACAAATTAAGTGGAGCTCAATATGCAACGAGTTGCATATTGACGGAACACCACATCAATCATTTAGTTTGATCTCGTTTATGTACCCAACAATATTGAATGTTGTTAAACATGGCAATAGGGTGAAAAAAAATGAAAACTACGTATCTAGTCAAGGTTAAATGAGGCCGGAAGCAACGAACAACAAATCCGGAAACTCCTCATGTGCATATATTAGGTTAGGTCCTGTTCTTCCCTAAACCATATTTTAGAGTTGTTTAACATGCAAGATGAGTGCACCATGTTAAACTAGGCAAAATTTTACCCCGTTTACATATAAAGTTTATTAAATTTGGAGCTACGGTTATTTAATTATGAATTAAAGCATTTTAACATGGCATAGGAGCAAATTTAACCAAACAGCATTGTAAACATTTTAAACATGGATGAAAATGACATATTATGAAACTAGACACAATTCTAAGCAAGTTTCATATATAAAACATTTTAATCCGATGCACGGTTAGTGAGTTATTAAATGCATGAACCAGGGGGACTTTTCTGTAAAACTGCAGTCTCAGAAAAATTGCTAAAATCGCAGATCTGAAAAAAAACAGGAACTGGGCCGAATCTAGTGCATGAAAGGCCAATCAGAGGAAAACAAAGGAGGCGCTGGGGAGGCTCACCCTGGGCTTCGGCCCAGTTCGACGGTGAGGTGAGGCCGGGCAGAAGGGAGGCTGGCGCGCTGGGCCTTGGTGCGATCTGGCGCTGGCAGGCTGGATCGAACGAGGCAACGCCGCGGTCAACGAGCGCTGCGGGACTTGGCGCTGGGGTCCTCCTCGCACGCAGAAATAGGGGAACAGCGCGACGAAGAGGTCAGGTGCGCCGACGCGATGTAGAGGAGATAGCGGGCGGCGAGGCGCGGGGAGACTGGGCGGAGCTCATCGTGGGCGCCGAGAGGAAGCAGATCCGGCGGCGAGTTGAGGCTAGGGCCGCGGGGTCGATGCAGAGGGACTTGGCGCTCTGGCCGTTGCTGGAGGGCGATGAGGAAGCCGAGTCCGGCATGGAGCAGGTACCGTAGCGCGGCGGCGGCTAGCCTAGGGTCTCCGGCGATGAGTGGATGGGCAAGGGGAACGGAGAGGAAGCAGTGGTGTGGCACTGGCCTGCTCGTATCTGAAGAAAAACGACAGCGAGGCTTCGGATGACGGCGGCATGGGACCTGGCACTGGGGTCTATGCCTCGGGGCGGCGTGCTCCTCGTTCCCTGCAGCGACGGAGCTGGTGGACCTGGTGTAGCAGGAGTCCCCAGGGACGAACGAGGCGTGGGGTGGACGCGGGAGGATGGATCCGAGGATGGGCGGCCGGATCAGGGGCGCGGAGGCGAGGATCCATGGAGGAGAAGCTTCATTCAATGGCCATGGCGTCATTCCTGCAGCGATGAAGTACAGAGAGAGAGGGAGATTACACAGAGAGGTAGGGGAAGAAGGAAAACGGGAGGAGGGGCATCAGAGAAAGGAGACGCGGGACGAGGCAACTCCGTCGGGGCTGGTCTGGTGACTCACCGGACGGCGACGTTGAGGAGCTCGGGACCGAGCCGAGCTCGATCTGAGAATCGGGCAGAAAAAGGTTGATTGGTCGGGCGTGGAAACTAAGGAGGAGCGGGGGGTTGGGGAATGGATCCCGAGAGATTTGAGTGGGTGGCGGCGCATGATGGGATGGATGGGACAAGGCTCCTGATTATTAGGGTTGGACCTAGTATATATATGGCAGGTGGAAATAGTTAGGGACTATCGGATCCCTCCGATCGTAATCGGACGGTCGCGAATAAAATATCTAGGGAGTCCAAATAAGAAAACGGTGACGTTTTGTAGACGTTTGGAGATGATCCGGACACAACGGTAGCGACAGCCCGAGTCGGGTCTGGGACAGCTTTCGGGCGCGCGCGAGGAGGGTCGCGGGCTGACGAGATAGGTTAGGTAGGGCCTGGCGGTGAGTAGTGGGCTGCGTAGACGGTCTCGAGCTGAGAGAAGAGAAGAGAGGGAGGCCCGGCGACTGTTTCCGGAGACCGAAAACGTCCGACGTAAAGACCGGCTACTATTGCCGCTATAGTTATCCGTTGGGGCGTCAAACGGACTCCGAATGCGATGAAATTTGGCAGGAGGTCTTCCTACACTATAATAAGACCACACACCAACTTTCAACCCATTCCGAGAACATTTTCCGGTCACTTATAAAATAATATTTCGGACGTGTCGCGGGCGCGTGCAAGTGTGTCTGGGCTCAGAACGGACAACGGAGAGAACGAGGAGGCCGGGACGGATGCAAGTTTCGAAAACATGATGATGCAATGCACATGATGACATGACAATATGCAACACGCAAGCAAATGACATGGAAACGACAGCGAATAACTGAAAGACACATGGCACATCGGTCTCGGGGCGTTACAGTTGTCTCATTGCAGCCGTCCTCAGGAACTGAGTTCTGTGTTTGTGATCCATGAACAGTTACTACCACACATTGGGCTCCGGGCGCTCCAAGCTCTCTCGACTTATTAATCAACTCGATCTCTGTCCAGGAGTTGCAACTAGTTTCTGGTGATTGTAGTTAGTGTTAGTAGTCTACCAAGTGGCACCCGGTATAGGTGGGCTTGGGACAGACTAGGCATAGTGGCCCGGTGTACCAAGTGGCACCCGGATGGTGGGCTTGGGAACCCTGTACACATCGTTTGGGGCCGTGAGCGACACCCCGGCCGGATCTCCTTGCGGATGGAACCCGAATAGGCGATAAACCTGGACGAAAGACTTGTGTGATTAGTCAGGTCGTGGCCGACTCCCTCACCAGGCTTCCGCTTGAAGGTTGCCGAGATACACGACGTGTACATGGTGGTAAGTGGTGAGAGCGTGTGTGAAGAAGTACACCCCTGCAGGGTTATCATTATCTATTCGAATAGCCGGATTCCTCGGATATGGAAACTTGGACCCCTTGCGTAGTTCATAGATAAGTGAAAGTGGATACTCTAAGATGCGCAAGATAAGCGTGAGTGCTATGGATGGCGTTCTCGTAGGGAGACGGGAGCGGATCCATAGTGGTGTATTGATATGGTGAATATGCGGACTCGTGTGCGCCACCTCAAAGAGTTATTTGCAGTCGTAGTTCAGGATAGCCACCGAGTCAAAGCTGGCTTGCTGCAGTTAAACTCCACCACCCCTTTGATGATACCGATGCATATGTAGTTAGTTCTGATGTAAGTCTTGTTGGGTACATTTGTACTCACCTTTGCTTAATTTATGTTTTGCAGAGAGAGTTCAGTCTCACTAGTAGTATCACGTGGACTTCGAAGTTTAGCTTGTTACCACAGCTATGATCTTGTACACTTGGGAGGGTCTTGTAGATAGTCAGGCTTCTCAGCCTTCTTCATTTGTAGTTGTCTGTACTCAGACAAGTTAAGCTTCCGCATGTGCTTGTTGCTTGTATGCTCTGTATGTTGGGTCATGAGACCCATGATTTTAATATCCTAGCTCCTCGGAGCCTAATGAATAAATACTTGAGTGTAGAGTTATGTTGTGATGCCATGTTGTATTTACACATATCGAGCATAATGTGTGTATGATTGAAATGCTTGGTATGTGTGGGATCCGACAACCTAGTTGTTCATCCTTGGTAGCCTCTCTTATGGGGAAATGTAGTCTTGTGCTTCCATGAGCCATAGTAGTCCGCTACAGCCCGGTTCACCGGAGTCCTGCTAGCCCAGCACTACTGCTCCGGAACACTTGACTGGCCGGCATGTGATTCACTTCGTTCCTGTGTCTGTCCCTTCGGGGAAATGTCACACGGTGACATCCAGAGTCCTGCCTAGCCTGCTACAGCCCGGTTCACCGGAGTCCTGTTAGCCCAGTGCTACAGCCCGGATTCGCACGCTGTTGACCGACATGCTCGAAGTTGATTCATGTATGCCTGTCCCCGTAAGTTAGTGCCACTTTGGGTTCACGACTAGTCATGTCGGCCAGGGTTCTCTGTCATATGGATGCTAGCGACACTATCATATACATGAGCCAAAAGGCGCAAACGGTCCCGGGCCATGGTAAGGCGACACCCGTGGGAATACCGTGTGTGAGGCCGCAAAGTGATATGAGGTGTTACAGGCTAGATCGGTGTGACTTAGAATCGGGGTCCTGACAACGCAGATGAAGGAGTCATACTCACAGCGATTCAGATCGCGGTTGATTCTGATCTAAGCGTCGATCAATGGCGCCTCCGTGTTCAACACAGGTACAACCCGGGGACGTCTCCTCCTTCTTGATCCAGCAAGGGGGGAGGAGATGTTGGGGAAGAACTCCGGCAGCACGACGGCGTGGTGGTGGAGCTCGCAGTTCTCCGGCAGGGCTTCGCCAAGCTCAATGGAGGAGGAGGAGGTGTTGGGAGAGGGAGGGTTGCACCTTGGATGTGGTGCTGCTGCCCTCCCTCCACCCCTCTATTTATAGGGCGAAGTGGGAAGGGGGCCGGCCCCTCTAGATGAGATCTAGAGGGGGCGGCCAAGGGGAGGTGGCTTGCCCCCCAAGCCAAGGGGGCGCCCCCTTTAGGGTTCCCCCCAACCCTAGGCGCATGGGCCCTAGGGGGGATGGCACCCAGCCCACTTAGGGGCTGGTTCCCTTCCAGATACAGCCCATAGGGCCCTCCGGGGCAGGTGGACCCTCCCGGTGGACCCCCGGAACCCCTTCGGTGGTCCCGGTACAATACCGATAAACCCCCAAACACTTCCGGTGACCGTAGGATGACTTCCCATATATAAATCTTCACCTCCGAACCATTCCGGAACTCCTCGTGACGTCTGGGATCTCATCTGGGACTCCGAACAACATTAGGTAACTACATACTATTTCCCATAACAACTCTAGCGTCACCGAACCATAAGTGTGTAGACCCTACGGGTTCAGGAATCATGTAGACATGACCGAGACATCTCTCCGGCCAATAACCAACAACGGGATCTGGATACCTATGTTGGCTCCCACAAGTTCCACGATGATCTCATCGGATGAACCACGATGTCGAGGATTCAATCAATCCCGTATACAATTCCCTTTGTCAATCGGTACGTTACTTGCCCGAGATTCGATCGTCGGTGTCCCAATACCTCGTACAATCTCGTTACCGGCAAGTCACTTTACTTGTTCCGTAATGCATGACCCCGTGACTAACTATTTAGACACATTGAACTCATTAGGATGATGCATTACCGAGTGGGCCCAGAGATACCTCTCCGTCATACGGAGTGACAAATCCCAGTCTTGATTCGTGCCAACCCAACAGACACTTTCGGAGATACCCGTAGTGCACCTTTATAGCCACCCAATTACGTTGTGACGTTTGGCACACCCAAACCATTCCTACAGTATCCGGGAGTTGCACAATCTCATGGTCTAAGGAAAAGATACTTGACATTAGAAAAGCTTTAGCAGACGAACTACACGATCTTGTGTTATGCTTAGGATTGGGTCTTGTCCATCACATCATTCTCCTAATGATGTGATCCCCTTATCAACGACATCCCATGTCCATGGTCAGGAAACCGTAACCATCTATTGATCAACGAGCTAGTCAACTAGAGGCTCACTAGGGACATGTTGTGGTCTATGTATTCACACATGTATTACGATTTCCGGATAACACAATCATAGCATGAACAATAGACAATTATCATGAACAAGGAAATATAATAATAACGATTTTATTATTGCCTCTAGGGCATATTTCCAACAGTTACGTGTTGCTCTCTTACGAATTACCTTCCACCAAACTATTTGTTACCGATAATTTCAATGCTTGCAAAAAACACCTTGCTGAAAACCGCTTGTCATTTCCTTCTACTCCTTGTTGGGCTCGACACTATTACTTATCGAGAGGACTATGATTGATCCCCTATACTTGTGGGTCATCACTGCTGATGGGGGCCTCGCGTGGGACGGGCCTCACGAGGAGTCTTGCTTGTGAAGCTTGCTGGTGGACCATCTGCTGGGCCCTTGATATGCGTCATGCCCTGGGCCGAAGGTAGACGGGCCTAGGTATTCCCGTGACACGTCCTTCAATTTAAAAGTTCCACATAGAATATCAAAGAACATGAGATGTGCTTGAGGGTCCTCCTCGTCCTCGGTTCCTACAAAGGCATGCCTTTTAACTTCCATAATGAGATTATATAGTCAATCGAATACTGTTTCGCATAATTTGTAGGATATACTATAGGAGATCTTGAAGTTATAACTGGAGCACAGTAATCTCTTACAGTCTTCTTTGGCTTCGGAGTAAGCGACATCTCTGCAAGCAAAGTGTTAAGCTCAACTGTTTAATTATTTTTGCATTTTTATATTAATGAAGCTTGTTGCTCCTGAAGAAAACGAGTAATATTATTTGGTAAATACATTCTTCCGGAACGAGTAGATCCCTGATACATCCATTTTGTATCATGTTTTGTTACTACTGTTTATAATGCTTTTATGTTTTATAATACTTTGTGGAGTAATTCTAGTGGCTTTTCTCTCATAATATGCAAGGTTTACACAAAGAGGGAGAATAGCGGCAGATGGAATTTTGCACCTGAAAAAGCTATGTTAGAGATACCTATTCTTCACATCTCCAAATGAGCTGAAATTTTACAGAGAATTATTTTGGAATATGTAATAAATATTGGAGAGAAGAACTACTGGAGGGGGGCTGTTAGGTGGCAACAAGGCACCAGGGCGCGCCAGACCCCCTAGCGTGCCTGGTGTGTAGTGGGCTCCTCAGCCCATATCCGGTGCCCATCTTCTGGTACATAAGGTCTTTTGACCTAGAAAAAAATAAGGAGATGACTTTCGGGATGGAGCACCACCGTTTCAAGGCGGAACTTGGGCAGGAGCACTTTTGCCCTCTGGCGAAGCGATTACGCCAAGGGTACCCCCCCTAGGGGGAAATTGAAGCCATCGTCATCACCTACAACCCTCTCATCTTTGGGAGGCCAATCTTCATCAACATCTTCAACAACACCATCTCATCTCAAAACCATAGTTTATCTCTTGTGTTCAATATTTGTACTAGAACCTCAGATTGGTTCCTATGGGTGACTAGTAGTGTTGATTACATCTTTAGTTGATGCTATATGCTTTATTTGGTGGAAGATTATATGTTCATATCCATTATGATATTTTATATCCCTCTGATCTTGATCATGAATATTATTTGTGAGTAGTTTCCCTTGTTCTTGAGGCCACGGGAGAAGTCATGTTGGAAGTTATCATGTGAATTTGATATTCGTTCGATATTTTGATGATATGTATGTTGTGATTCCCTTAGTGGTGTTATGTGAACGTCGACTACATGACACTTCACTATCTTTGGGCCGAAGGGAATGCATTGTTGAGTAGTTATTAGATGATGGGTTGTTAGAGTGACAGAAGCTTAAACCCTAATTTATGCGCTATTCCGTAAGGGAGTGATTTGGATCCATATATTTAATGCTATTGTTAGTTGTTATCTTAATACTTCTTTTGTAGTTGAGGATGCTTGTGAGGGGGTTAATCATAAGTGGGAGGCTTGTTCAAGTAAGAACAACACCCAAGCACCGGTCCACCCACATATCAAATTATCAAAGTAGCGAACGTTAATCAAACCAACATGTTGAAAGTGACTAGATTAAATTCCCATGTGACCTCAAGAACGCTTTACTTATTATATGAGACTATTCCGGCCTGTCCTTTGTCATCAAAAGGATTGTGCTACCTTGATGCATTTATTGTTACTTGTTACAAATTATCTTGCTACCAAAGTACCTGTTACCAACAATTTCAGTGCTTGCAGAAATTGCCTTGCTGAAAATCACTTGTCATTTCCGTCTGCTCCTCATTGGGTTCGACACTCTTACTTATCAAAAGGACTACGATTGATCCCCTATACTTGTGGGTCATAAATCCCCTGTGACTTACAGGAAGCATCTATAATAACAATACCTGCAAACACAGTTACGAAACAAGTACTCTACGCTTAGCTCCCCGGCAATGGCGCTAGAAATTTTCTTGATGCATGCAAACCAAACAGGGTTGTGCAGCACTTTCATGGAAGTATCCCAATTAATTATTGTCCCAATGAAGAGCATAGGAGAGTATTTATGGTGGCGCTTCTGTCAACACACAAGGTGTCACAGTTCTTGTGTGAAGTAACTGCTTAAACTTCCGCAAATGTTGCTACTGTCCTAGTGGACGAATAAACCAGATAAAATGTTTGTAGTAACGAAGGTAAAAACTATTTAAAGTAAATAAACTAAATGGAAATGAGAATTGTGTTTCCTGCGATAAAGAGATCAGGAGTGGAGAGAATTCAGTCCATGGTAAGAATATATCAAGTGTTCCATTGCGACTGTAATACCGTTTACCTTGTATCATACTCATAGTATTTGATATGTGTGTTCTATAGGCAGATCACACTAAAGTTATGAAACTCCTCCTCTTAGGATTATATTTCATTCTATGGTCCTCCTTCACCGGTGCCATAGAGTGGTCGTTTCCACAATTAAGGTCCTTGGACCGGAACCAAGCATTAGGTTTCCTGGATCACCGTTATCTCATATTGCCTTCGGTCCTCATAGATATCTCCACCTATCACTGCGAAGGTCACAGATTTCCTAAACAATATGTATTACCTATGTAGGTCTTGAGATCATGTTGTGTGGGCCCTTAAATTAGACAACATGCATAGAGTTCACCATAGCATAACAACGTACTAGACAGATCATACTACTACAAATAAGAATGCCAACATATAGATTAGACATAGATAAATCTTGGCACTCACCTACAACTCCCACGCCTATGGGGAATTAATCACACATCATAAGAGAAACCATTCACACAAGGGATTAAACCCATGAAAACCATATCGAAAATACCGTGAAGATCCACAATAAGATGAAATGGATAATTCAACTAGTCTTGATCTCCAGATTAGAGTGAATAGAGTTTACAACTTGTTCCCACAAGTTTGAATTCCTATTACAATAGTGAAGGCTGAGAGGATGATGGAGATGAAATGACCAAAACTAAGAAAATTTCTGAAGGTTCTTCGGATCCCTTCTTCTTCTGTTCTGGACATGGTGGCGGCGGCTAGGGTTATCTTCTCCCCTGTGCTCCTTCATCAAAGTGTCTTGTATAGACGTGGCAAAGCTCTTGGCATTTCATACGACTGCTCATATGAGCGCATGTGGTCGTATGGAAGATCGTCTTTTGATCTATTGTGCCTGGTGGCTTGGCTTTCCACAATGAAGTTACTCCATTTGGATTGATATGCAGTAATTTTCCTTAGCTTCCTTCCATATATGATATTTCCTGCCAAAAATGGAAAAATAATTTTCTTCTCTTGTGAAGATTAGCGTTTGAAATAACCAAGAAGTTACAAAGTTTCGATGAAACCAAATAAAATATCACAAATTCTCGAGCCATCAGGCCACTTTATAGTTGTGATCATCTTTGTTTTTAGATTGATTAAAATAGTTCTCTAAGATAGCTTTGGATGCACTCTTACTTTTTAGACCAAATTCTCCCAAAAAGTAACTTCTCTTCAGCTAATACTAAATGCATGGGCCATCCGTAACATGTCCTAATAACTTGATATCTCTCCATTCTAGGAATTGGTGGGAAACCAAAATACAAAGTGCAAAACCTGTAAATTGAACATTGTTTACTCCTACTCACGGAAGACACCATAGTTCAATGCGTAAATAGACATGTTAACATTTCCAACTGGAAAATATTATAGCTGTAACCATTATGGAGTGGAAAGTATCACACATGCGTGGTTGCGGGACACCTTCCATCTTTGGACCAAAAGTTTTCCACTCCTTCCTGGCTTCTACCCGTGCAGAGGAAGCCATTGTAGCCTTGTAAGTGGTGAGGAAGGATGGATGTTTTAGGGTTGTGTATTTAGTTATTGGATCTGCGAGGTTTCTATTTGCTTCTTGGTATGTATTTTAACGATGTTGACTTTGATAGGCTGGGATATTCGGAAGACACTATGATGGTTGGTGAGGACAAATGGAAAGGGATAGAGGTGGTGGGTGAGTACAACTTCCCAAAGGGGCGGCATGTACTTGCCGTTGACGACCACCATGTCTTCCTAAAGATCCTAGAGGCCCTCTTGCGCCACTGCAAATACCATCATGAGCCTCTCAATCTTCATGCTTGCTCGAATCCATTAGAATTGAGGTTGTATGAGTTGTTATCTATTAATAATGCTTCTTGCTTAGTTTCATTTTGTGGAAAAAAATGATGTAGAGACCATGGTGATGGATGTGAAGACAGCACTAAAGATGCTCAGGAAGGGGAAGGAGGAGTTTGACCTAGTGATCAATGACGTGCAGATGCCAGACACGGACACTTTCATGTTCCTTTAGCTCATCGGAGTTGAGATGGATCTCCCTACATAATCCGAAGTCCTATTTCTTCACATGAGCTAGTAGTGGTCATTAAGAACATTTATTACTATTTAGCGTTCAATATACACTGAGTGAATGTTCCTTGATAACATTTAATACCAATATTAAGATTTTTTTATGAAATCACATACACCTCCACTCGCCCTATTTTTTGGCAAAAATCATAAGAATGGGATCCGGAACCAACTAATGACCATTCTTTCAATTTTTACCAAGAAAAAATAGGGTGAGTGGAGGTGTATGTTAAAAATATTCTATATATTGATCTTAAATTCTATCAAGGAACATTCACTCATTGTATATTCAGTGATTAATAGTAATAAATGTTCTTAATAACCACCACTAGTTCATGTAAAAAAGTAGGACATTGGATTGAGCAGAGAGTCTACTTATGGAAGGGATATCCATCTCAACTCTAATGAGCTGAAGGAGCATGAAACCGTCCATGTCTGGCTTGTGCACGTCGCTGATCACCAAGTCCAACTCATCCTTCCCCTTCCTGGGCATCTTTAGTTCCATCTATGCATCCATCACCATCATTGCTACATCGTTTTGTGTGCACAAAATCAAACTAAGAAAAAACACTATTCATCGAGAACAACTCATATAACCTCAATTCTAATGAATTAGAGAAAGCATGAAGATGGAGAGGCACACGATGGTATTTGCAGTTGCACATGAGGGACTCTAGGATCTTCAGGAAGACGGGGTCATCCTCAAGGACGAGTACACGCAACCCCTTTGTGAAGTTGTCCTCACCCACCGCCTCTATCCCTTGAATTTTGTCCTCACCAACCTTGACTGTGTCTTCCGAACTTCCCACCCTAGCAAAGTCAACATCATTAGTACACACACCAAGAAACAAACATAACACATAACCCTAAAGCATCCCTCCTTCCTCACCTCCTATAGGGCTACATTGGCTTCCTCGCCACAGGCAGAACAATGCAGAGGTCGGAGAGGAGGGTTGAATTAGTGCGAAGAGCTAAGGATGTAGGGAGCTATTTATAGGGGTAGTAGCAAGGAAGGAGTGGAAATCGTTTGGTCAACAGACGGAAGGTGACCCTCATCCCCTGCATGTGTCATACTTTCCACTCCATAATTGTTGTAGCTACAGTTGTTTTCCCGTGGAAATGTCAACACGTCTATTTGTGCATCGGCCCATGGTTTCCTCCATGAGTAGGAGCAAACCATGTTCGATTTGCTGGTTTTTTACTTTATACTTTGTTTTCCCACCATTTCCTAGAGTGGAGAGATATCATGTTACTGGACTAGGTCAGGTCTGGCCCATGCATTTTAGAAACTTGGTGTGGGTCCAATCAAAAGTTTGTTTTTGGAAAATTGGGTCTAAAAAGTAAGAGTGCATCCAAAGCTATCTTAGAGAACTATTCTAATCAATCAAAAAAGGAAGGTCATCTTAATGATAAAGTGGTCTAATGACGGATTCAGGGCTCCGCATACCCAAGAAAGGTTTGAACTTTGGGGCGTGTGCGAAGAACTCAACCTCTCGAGCCGTCTGACTCGTCGTTCGCACGGCCTAGCTCGATGAACAGGAAAGGAAAGAGACACGACAATTTACACAGGTTCGGGCCACTTTGCGGTGTAAGACCCTACTCCTGCTTTGGGGTGGATTACCTCATGAGGGGCTGAGGATGAACTGGTACCGAGGAAGAACAACCTCAAGAGGTCTGTTCTTGTGTGTGTGTGTGTGTGTGTGTGAGTGAGCTAGCGAGGGTTCAGATTGGATGCCATCGTCTCCCCCTTTCCTACGGTAGTGGCTAAGCTATATTTATAGTGGCCTTGGTCCTCTTCCCCCAAAACAAAGGCGGGAAGGGATCCCCCAGTGGCCAATTTTGAAGGGGGACAAGTAGTACATCTTATCCTGACGAAAGGTGGTCTTCTCCTGCAAGGCTTCTGGTCGTGATGCTGTAGTGGGCTCGGCGGTGACACCCGTCATGCCGTCCTAGCGGCCTTGGTCTCATTGCACGGGAATGGAAACCTTTGGCTGGTTCCTTGGGACTCCGCACCTGCACTTGCCTCCTTAGCACCAAAGAATAAACCTGCTGCTCTGCGCCCCCTGGCGCCTGTCTGGCCATGGTCGTCATGGCTTGCGTCACCCCAAACCTCATGAGATGGGTGCTTGCATGGCTCCTCGTGAGGGTCTTGTCTTGCCGATGCTGAAGCTGGGCCATACCAGGCCGTCGATGGAGCCATGCCGTGGGCCGCAGGCAGGCAATTCTGGGTACCCTGGTTCCTAGGACGCTGATAGTAGCCCCCGGGCCCAAGGTGCACTCGGACTTGGCTTCGAGGCGAAGCCAAAGGGCAAGGCTGAAGCGCCGCGGGCCCCAATTGCCCGCGGGCCAAGTGGACGCATGGTTCTTGATGGGACGTGGGTGTCTCCACTTCCCCATGTTGCCTCGGCAATCGTCCGATGCTACCTCTTGAGCACTATGTTGGTTTTCCCTTGAAGAGGAAAGGGTGATGCAGCAAAGTAGCGTAAGTATTTCCCTCAGTTTTTGAGAACCAATGTATCAATCCAGTAAGAGACTACACGCAAGTCCCTCGTACTTACACAAACAAATAAGAACCTCGCAACCAACATGATAAAGGGGTTGTCAATCCCTTCACGGTCACTTATGAGAGTGAGATCTGATAGAGATAATAAGATAAATATTTTGGGTATTTTTATGATATGGATTGAAAGTAAAGATTGCAAAATAAAATAGATTGGAAACTTATATGATAAAGGATAGACCAGAGGCCATAGGTTTCACTAGTGGCTTCTCTTAAGAAAGCATAAGTATTACGGTGGGTAAACAAATTACTGTCGAGCAATTGATCGAAAAGTGCATAATTATGAGAATATCTAGGCATGATCATGTATATAGGCATCACGTCCACGACAAGTAGACCGAAACGATTCTGCATCTACTACTATTACTCCACACATCGACCGCTATCCAGCATGCATCTAGAGTATTAAGTTCATAAGAAAAGAGTAACACATTAGGCAAGATGACATGATATAGAGGGATAAACTCAAGCAATATGATATAAAAACCCATCTTTTTATCCTCTATGGCAACAATACAATACGTGCCTTGCTGCCCCTGTTGTCACTGGGAAAGGACACCGCAAGATTGAACCCAAAGCTAAGCACTTATCCCATTGCAAGAAAGATCAATCTAGTAGGCCACACCAAACTGATAATTCAAAGAGACTTGCAAAGATAACCAATCATACATAAAATATTTCAGAGAAGAATCAAATATTTGTTCATAGATAATCTTGATCATAAACCCACAATTCATCGGATCCCGACAAACACACCGCAAAAAGAATTACATCGAATAGATCTCCAAGAAGATCGGGGAGAACTTTGTATTGAGATCCAAAGAGAGAGAAGAAGCCATCTAGCTAATAACTATGGACCCGAAGGTCTGTGGTAAACTACTCACAGATCATCAGAGAGGCTATGGTGTTGATGTAGAAGCCCTCCGTGATTGATTCCCCCTCCGGCGGGGCTCCGGAAAAGGCCCCAAGATGGGATCTCTTGGGTACAGAAGGTTGCGGCGGTGGAAATAGTGTTTCGTGGTGCTCCTCGATGTTTTCGGGGTATATGGATATATATAGGAGGAAGAAGTAGGTCGATGGAGCTGCGAGGGGCCCACGAGGGTGGGGCGCGCCCAGGGGGCAGGCGCGCCTCCCTGCCTCGTGGCCACCTCGCTTCTTTCTTGACGTTTACTCCAAGTCCCCTGGATCGCATTTGTTCCAAAAATAACTCTCCCGAAGGTTTCATTCCGTTTGGATTCCGTTTGATATTCCTTTTCTGCGAAACACTGAAATAGGCAAAAAAACAGCAATTTGCACAAGGCCTTGGGTTAGTAGGTTAGTCCCAAAAATAATATAAAGTGTATAATAAAGCCCATTAAACATCCAAAATAGATAATATAATAGCATGGAACAATCAAAAATTATAGATACGTTGGAGACGTATCAAGCACCCCCAAGCTTAATTCCTGCTCGTCCTCGAGTAGGTAAATGATAAAAACAGAATTTTTGATGTGGAATGCTACCTAGCATAATTCTCAATGTAATTTTCTTTATTGTGGCATGAATATTCAGATCCGAAGGATTCAAGATAAAAGTTTAATATTGACGTAAAAATAATAATACTTCAAGCATACTAACTAAGCAATCATGTCTTCTTAAAATAACATGGCCAAAGAAAGTTCATCCCTACAAAATCATATAGTTTGGTCATGCTCCATTTTCGTCACACAAGAATGCTCTCATCATGCACAACCCCGATGACAAGCCAATCAATTGTTTCATACTTTAGTAATCTCTAACTTTTTTCAACTTTCCCGCAATACATGAGCGTGAGCCATGGATATAGCACTATGGGTGGAATAGAATATAATGATGGGGGTTATGTG